AATGTCAACACACGACAAAAAATGTTTTCATACGAATCGCTTGTTTGCCTTCACGTAGTGTGTTACCGTTTCATGAATTTTTTAATGCGATACAACTGTATCCTTGCAACGGCGATCATTCCAAAGTCTCCGGCGAAACTATAGCGATGGAAATAATCCATACTCTGGGTTCATCAAAGAGTTTTGCTTACAATTAGGTTTGAACTTCGATTTGGAAATGCAATCTCATGTGAAACAAGTTTTTATTAGACCTGTGCAAGCTGACATACGAACCATAATATTTCTACGAGTACATGTAAATATTGCACGCCCGCTCTGCTACATTATTTGTATGCTGCCAATTGTACAAACACACGTTTCATGTAGACGCTAAACGATTTCATCCATTGTTCGTTTGAAAGCACAATAAGCTTGATACGCTTCACCAAATAACAACAAGTATTCGCTATTAGCTAAAACATATCAAAACACACAAAGCGTTATTTGAACAATTCGCTCAATTTATCATTTGCCATATCATTTCATTAAAGTCATCTTTTTTTCGTGCTTATGAGCTTATGTTGGTTGTTTCATTGTTCGTATTGCAATTTTCTCTCCAATAAATTGCTTCTTCCCACACTAACTGTTAGCAGTGTTCTTTCGTCTTCAGTTCATCAAGCGACCGACTGAATTAATGCCGTTTCATTGCTGAACTCGCGTCTTGTTCTACCAACAATTCTTTTAGATCACTCGGAACTCAATCATTTTCAAATTTATCGCTATCACTGAGCGGCACGGCTAACTCAAGCGGCAAAAAATTGTCCATCGTGTTAGTTCTATCGAGAATTCAATTGCGATTTCCTGCCGAAGGAAATCGCTGTTCAAAATGCTCAAAGCCTCAGCTTTACCGCCATCGAATTCAGCCAATTGCAACATGCTCATTCAAATGGTCTCATCGTATATCTTGCTCATCAATAGAATTTCCTAATCAAATAAGGCGTCTCAATGCTTTGACATGTTCGCCTAACAAACCTGTGATTTGTTCTACGTGATGCTAGGACTGATATTATCGTTTCTGAGCTAAATTGTAATTTTCCCGAGCCATGAAATATGTTTGCAACATCTAAAAGTTACTGTATCAATGCAGTGCAATAAATTAGAAAACTCGTGTTTTCTGCTCAAATAGAATTCTCTTTATGATTGATTTGCGTGAGCCCACAACTTTATAGCCGACAGTTGTTCATTTTCATTCCACCATGTCATTTGCAGGAGATTATTCGCTCGGCTATAAATCTCTTGTTTGTGTCCATTCAACAATTGCAGCCACTGAATTATTCTCATAAATTGCTTGTGGTTGGATAGTAATATCGTAATTGCATGATGTGGGTCATATTTTTTGATGTTTTTTGCACTGTCGTTGATCATATAAATACCCAAATTTTCTACCAATTCAATATTCGTTATGGAACTCACTCACCATAATTGAATGTTTCTTAGTGCGAAAGACAAACAGAATCAGTTGTATGTTTATTTTATTATTTCCTCGTTTACTATCCCTATTCTTGTCGTCTAATGACACTTATACAGTATCTGTTGGAGTCATCAACCGACCCATTGCAGCTGATTCGTACCGATGGAATCGGTATAATTGTTGCGCATTTCTGAGAGATTAAAAATGCTGCGAATGGCTCCTGTAATTTTGTCATCATATTATTCGTTCCATAGGGAAGCATCCATACGATTGTATCTTTCTCCGATGGAACTCTCTTACCATACTTGAATGTTTCTCCGAGTTCAATCGCTTGTTTGTTCAGAGAAAAGATGCGAAAGGGTCTTGAGTAAAGGTATATAACTGATAGGTATACAATTCAAGGGTATATAATTGTTCAGGTCCATGCGTATAAAAACTAAGGTTTCTTTAAGTTCAAATATAATAAGAGTATTTGTATCAAGACGAGCTGAATTATAATCAACGCATCTTGCGATACAATAAAGCGGTCAGTGGAACATACTAGATGGCTGCTTGCTTCTAAGTTCGATAAAAATTCTCCTGGTAACATCACGAAAGCGTGGTCTTCATTAGCAGTTTGAGGATGAGTCGATTCATGGATGTATTTTCATGTGTTTGAGTTTATACACAAGTAAGCGGTTCAATTGCACTAGTCGGTCTCATGGTTGCACAAATACAACGAAATTTGACCATGAATTTGAAAATTGAGACAGAATTGAGAAAGCAACCATTCTGTTTCGTTTTTTGTGATTGTTTCCGCTATGGATGCAGATTGTTCGATAGAATTTCCTGCACTGGTGTGGGTGTTGGATTGAAAGGCGTCTGCATTTAAGAAGTTTACTTTGAGTGCAAACATGATGAGTTATTCGGACTTTTGCTTATCTTTCCTGCACGAACATGCCGAGTCAGGCTAAACTCCAACTTGAACGTGGGCTTCCGTATGGGCTCGAACTCGGGCTTGACATGTTTCAACGGACGATAACACGGAGTGATAACTTTGACTGCGATATGCTGATCGGTGTGCTTCTTTTTTTCCTTGAAATTTTGCCGATTTAGAGAACATCGCGACTATTTGGTGAATTTTCTCGAATATCTGTTTCAGTGATCGTTTATTACGCATCGATAGACGTATGAATGGCGATTCTGCACAATGTGTGCGTGCGTGATCGCAAGCTAAAAATTTCATATTCTTTGCAGATTCGGACGGGATTCATCATTCTTTGAGCGAGAAGAAGATTTCTTCATAACACCTCCTTACAGCGAGTTGATGATGCCAACTAAGGTCATGATGCTCCGGTTGTGGTGAAAAATTTTCGATTGTGAAGTTCCATCTAAACGTTTCTGTGGGATCCAGAAGAGATTCGTCAAGAAATAGCAAAAGAAAGAGGTGAAGGGAGATTCNAAGAACACAGATAAGAAAGTACGGAGAAGCGAGCGAGTTCTAAAACGCTGTTGGATAAACGTAAGACTCGAAGTTATACACTAGAAACAAAGCAGTACTGGAAGAACAACAATAGCAAAGCTACGAGAGCGATCGCAGCTGAAGACGTTCAAAATTCAATTCAACAGTTAAGCCGTAACGTGTGGCAATTCTTGTGCTCGACTTAAGACAATTCAAGTAAGCACTAAGCCAGCAGACAACTACACAACAACAGAACAATTCTTGAGGATTGTTTAATAAAAGCAAAAGATCGATAAGCAGACAAATGAACACTTTTAAAAGACTTCGAAAACGATTCACTGAAGCTGGTGGCTCAGCTAGACGAAGCGAAGGTGTAGCAGAAGGACGAGACGAAACGACGACGACGAGAAGGAATGAAACCGGGAGCAGAGAAGTGCAAAATCATCATCCATCAGCGGCAACAGCCGCAGCAGCAGCAGCAGAAGCGCACCAAAATCGACAACAACATCAAGATTCGTCGTTGATTTCAGAGCCACCACGACCACCGCCACACCATCTAGCACCGCATGCTCCCAACGTTTTTCGTGACCCGTTCCAACAACTCCCATCAACAATCAGTGCTTACGTCCTTCTCAAACTACCATTCAAACGGAGAACNATTTTCTCGTGGTCATAGGGTGGAGATTAGAGACTTCTTTTATTTGTCATTCCCTTCAGTCTGCTCAGTAATAGAAATCACTGCAATGCTGCAAAATTCTGGAGATTGCATGAGTTTGGAAATTTTTCAATCTTGTACGCCGTTCACGAACCATCGTTCAGATATAAGAAATGTCGCACCAGCAAAGGCATCAAAATTCAAATATCCGTTTGTTCGATGGTTAAGTTTAGAGTATTATAATGCAACGGTAGCCTAAGCAAGTATTGAACAGCTGTTTCACGTGCCACTAAATAATGAAATTGAAGCTGATCAATTGCACGTGCCACTCATTCTTAGGCGCTTATAAGGAATAAGCTGCACTTGAACTTTCTTGCTTACGGCTTGATTGATAATTTCGCTCTGAAACTGATAATTTTGATAAGTTGATAATAAAAATTGATAATTTCGCTTCGAATGTGCATTTTGTCATTATGACTCCGAAGAAGTTTATTATGGTGGAGCAGTTGAGGCGCCGCTTGCTTCAACTGGACCAAACCCTACTTGTAGCTGAATGTTTTTGATCGTTCAGCTTAGCAGTTATGAATTTATCTCGAGAAAACGACTTACTTAAACGGCTCAGTGAAGACGATATTTCATTACTTGTTAATCCCCAGTTGTACGCTCATTCATCTTAAACGCTGAGCAGTCAGTGAATTTCAGTAGTTTTCGTAATGCTTCACACCAACTGCTTTTAACTCCCACAAGGTTCTGTTAGTGTGCTGTTTATACATATGTTGGACTCATTGATCGCACAATGACTAAAATGAATGAATGAGCTTCGTGGTGATGTTCGATGTTCGCACAATAATACGCATTCTCATATCTGAAGATTTTGTGTTGACTCACCAAGATTTATTATTACGCTGTTTTCAGTTGAGCATACCTCAGCGATGCTGATTCATCGTTTATTTTTTCAAAAAAAAATCCCACTTCCAAAGTATCAGCTACGAAACTTGCATGAATTGATTGCTGCACACTGCCTAAATCATTTTTGTTTCATTTAACTAAAAATAAGTTATTTATTGCCTTTGCAATTCAACTACGAAATTCTCAAATACGACGACGACGACGATGCACCCATCAAATTATCGATTCCTTGTTAATGTCTTTGCTATTACCACAATTCAATATATCACTCCATAATCCACCACCAACATTTGATGTGAATGCAATGAAACATAAACTTTCGAAACGTTCTGTCAATAAGCTCAGTAAAACTTATGGATACTGCTGGCCAAAGCAAAATGGATGATCAACTCAAAGTCAACTTCTAAAACTGAATTCAAGTCACATTCGTTTCGAATGTTCTCATTGTCAGCAAAAATTTCTCACTCACTTCCAGTCCTGTCTACGAGTTGAAGACCAATTGCATTTTGAAGCGAACCACCAAAAATATACTGATTTCATTCCCTATTTGAATAATAATAGTAATACAAGCTATTCG